ATATAATCAGACTTTTTTTTAGTATATTTGTCTCCTTAAGGCTAAAGGGGGCTACTACAATTAAGGATGTCACTCATTATATTTTGATAAATTTTTTTACAACATTTTCTCCACACTATAGCTCTATAACGCAAAAATTTGCAGAGAAACTAGTTATAAATGGTACTATCAGTGATTGGGAACAAAATTTGATACTTTTTGTTCACAAAGTTAGTCCTACATATTAACTACTCTGCCCTTATACAACTACCGCAAGATAAATGCTTTAAAAGTCAACAAAAACTGGGTTACAATATAAAGGTAAAATAAATGCAAGATTTAAAAAAAAAAACAAAGAAAAGAAGAATCTAAACAAGCATTGAGTTTGAAAAAAGATAATACACATATATCATCTACTTTCAAACTCAATGCTCAATCGAGTACAATCTATCACATGTATTGATGTATTGTTCTTAATTAAGTAAAAAGTGGAGATAGTATCTCAATGAAAATACTCATCCTTAGAAGATTTCTATCCTTAGAAAATGTCTGAGACAGCATACAGTTGTCTTTAAAAATATATATTATTTTAGGGGTAAGCAGAAAAAGAGTAGCACAGCCACCAAAAAAGAGGCACAAGAAAGTGCTTAACTAAGAAATTTTAAATGTATTCTACAAAGTAGAGTGCTCAATCTTTTTAAAAGAACAGAACAATAATAAATTATTAGAAAATAATTTATCAAATGTTTTCATTTTACACTGTGTTTCGCCAATAAAAACTCATCAGAAATAAATGAAACAAAGACTCATCTGTTTTTCTGATGATTCTTTTGATAAAACACAGCTTAAAATTAAAAAAATTTGGTAAGTGATTTTCTACTATTTTATTACAAAATATAAAAATTATACTTTTTAATTGCTAAAGAACTGACAGCTGATTTTTATTATGATCTTTCTGCTTTGGACTTGCCATGGCTGGTGAATTTTAACCCAATTAATTAAAAATTTAAAAAACCTTGCATAAACCCTGCTCCAGCTACTAAAGATGTATTTCTTTGTCTCGTCATTGTAAGATTGCATCACTTTTCAATTTTCTACAAATACTACCACTATTGCTGCTCAAGCAAGCATATCATCACTGTTCAGCAAAGTTGCAACTTTTACTGTAACTGTTCTTTCATGCTCAAAAGAACTTAAATCAATTAGTTTTTTTTTATCCAACATCAATTTCTCATTTTTAATTTTTTAATTTTTATTTTTAAATTTTCCTTATTCATACAGTCTACAGTTTTGAAATCTTCTATCAATTTAGTTTTTTTTTTTTTTAGATTTAAACAACTTTACTTAATTACAAGATAGAAAATGAAAAAACAAAAAAATAATAAATAATAATAAACAAAAATATTAAAAAACTTTTATTTAACAAATAACTCAGAGAAAATTTAAAACTATTAATAACTTTCAATTTAATTAAATCTTTAATAATTTTTTATAAATAAAAATTATTTACATAAAAAATGGCATTTACATTAAACAAACCTTAATGGAATATTTAACATAATTACTTGTACCATTCTTTTCTACACCTACATATTTGCATTTGGCCTCTTCAAAAACTTCATTTTTTAAGAGAAGTCTTTTTGGGAAAACCTAAAGATATTTTACATATATTATTTTGAATCAAATTATTAACATTAAAATAAGATTTTATATATCAAAAGTTTTGAACTAAAATATTATTAAATATAATTTTCAAACAAACAACATGTTTTATGTTCAACAATGTGTGTGTGCACGTGCGTGTGTGTGATAAAAAATATATAAATAACATACTGGCAGACACAAGTATGCGTTAAAATATTCAAGAAACAAAGCATCATTCTTCAATGTCTCTTCCTAAGATTCAAAAAAAAACTGCTATTAATAAATTATAAAAAAAAAAAACACTATTACTCATTCTAAAAACTACACTACTATTCTATGGGTCAGTTCATTATATTTCAACATTATTAAATATTATTGTTGTTGTTATTGCCATCCCTATTATTTTTATCACTGTTAATATTGTGACTTCTTTACAAAATTAGATTATTATTATTATGATTATTCTTATTATTGTTATTATTATTATTATTGTTATCATTGTTATGATTATTATTATTGTTTTGTTATCATTATTATTGTTATCGTTATTACTATCACTATTATTGTTACTATCATTTATTATATTATAAGGTTTAAAATATAACAGTTATATAAAAAGTAATTTTACACAAATTACAACTCATTATTAAGTAAAAGAGCAAATTTTTTACTCTTCTACTCATAATAAACTTGATTTGGGTTTTTATTTTTAAATTTGCTTTTTTATTTTTAAATTTAATATTTTATTTTTAAATTTTAATATTTCATATTATAATCTCTAGTTGTGTAACAAGATTCAAAAATTTGTTTGTACAATATAAAAATTAGTGGTTTGTACAATATAAAAATTAGTGGTTTGTACAATATAAAAATTAGTGGTTTGTACAATATAAAAATTAGTGGTTTGTACAATATAAAAATTAGTGGTTTGTACAATATAAATTTTAGTGGTTTGTACAATATAAAAATTAGTGGTTTGTACAATATAAAAATTAGTGGTTTGTACAATATAAAAATTAGTGGTTTGTACAATATAAAAATTAGTGGTTTGTACAATATAAAAATTAGTGGTTTGTACAATATAAAAATTAGTGGTTTGTACAATATAAAAATTTGTGGTTTGTACAATATAAAAATTTGTGGTTTGTACAATATAAAAATTTGTGGTTTGTACAATATAAAAATTAGTGGTTTGTACAATATAAAAATTAGTGGTTTGTACAATATAAAAATTAGTGGTTTGCACAATATAAAAATTAGTGGTTTGTACAATATAAAAATTAGTGGTTTGTACAATATAAAATGGTTTATATTCATTTTTCAGTTAATAATTTTTAATTATTTAATTTGCAAGAACCATATCAGATTACAATTTTTTTTCTTTTTTTCTATTGTGGTTACTTTAAGTTTATTCTTATCTGAAATATTTGTCATTGAGTCTAATCATCTTAAATATTTAACTTTGAGTCTACTCTTATCTGAAATATCTGACATTGCGTTTATTCATCTTAAATATTTAACTTTGAGTCTACTCTTATCTGAAATATCTGACATTGCGTTTATTCATCTTAAATAATTGAGTCTGCTCTTATTTGAAATGTTTGAATTTGAATGTACTCTTTTTTTGTTTTGTTTTGAGAACCAGTATGATGTTTCAAACACCATACAAATTCTAAAAGAAGAATACCCACAAGTTCAGAAGATCCATTAATTCAATAATGGTGGAAGTAGCCAGTTTAAAAATGGTGAACTTATTTTTTTAATGCTAAATATTCTAAAAACTCTGATTAAACAATCTTAACCAGACTTTTAGGAAGCACTTTTAATTGGGCTTTTAGAATGATGTTTTTTAAACTTGAGAAAAAATTGATAATCATCTGAATAGAATATTATTTCATGTTTTGTTTTATGTTTAATTTGAAAAAACCTGTTTTTTATGAAAAAGATTACAGATTGGCATTTGTATGGCACCACACAAGGAAAAGGTACACGTAATAAACTAGGTGGTATGGGGAAAAGAGTTATTCATAACTAAAATTTGACAACAAAAGATATGTTTTTAATTAACATTGGCATTGTTAATTTGCCATTAGAGCATTTATTTTGTGAATTTTTTCAAAAGTGACTGTGTCAACTGTTTACAAAATCTGGCAAATATTTCAAAAATCTAAAAATACCAGATATCCATATGTATCCAGTTAGTGAGATATTACATTAGATTGAGCTTAAAAACTCTAGGGGTTTTTTCTCTTATCTTATTAAAAAAAATGAAATGAATTATCATATATTGTTTTCAATCATCTACTAATTATCAATTTAATTGTGCTCCTATACAGTATAAAGACGAGATGAGCAAGGGGGTGACCAACTGTACCTTTGTTTTTTTAAATGACTTATGATTGGCTGCACCCCTCACATGGGCCAGCCTAGAAATGTTGAAGGGGTACTGATTTCCCACAATGCATTTAAACTTTGATAATTGAAAAAAAAAAAGGTTAAAAAATAATGCTTCTATTTTTGGTTTGAACAAAAAAGTTAAAAATATTTGCATTTTTAGATAATTGGGCTTAATGATTTTGTTTGTTTTTAATTTCCGATCAAAACAAAGTGTTGACTTTTAAGGCAAATAGAAAGTAAAATTTTAGATATATCTAAGTTCTGAACTGTAAGATGCTTACATTTTGCCCATTTATTGCAGACCATTGTAGGTAGTCAGAAATTTTACCTGTAAGAACTTGTTGATAAATAGAGAAATGCTAGAGTTAATATTTAACATCTTTCAGATTTTTCTTAATATGATGTCATAATTTTTTCTTATGTAATACAAGCTGATAAAAACCATAAATTTAGAAAAATTTGACACTGGTTGAAAGTTAAAAACAGTAATTAAGCTTTAAAGTTGTCTGTTCACACAATTCCTATATCAAAATGGGCCACTGTAAAGTGTTATAAGGCTATAATTTCTAAACTGTTGCACTTGGAAGTCTAAATTACCAATTTTTATTCACCTACATAATGTAGATAATGGTATGTAAAAATCAGGAAGATCAGAAGGTGTCCCACAAGCAATTGCTTAAAATATAATCAACAAATCCTATGCTTTATTAACTCTAGCTATCTACATCGAACTATATTCATCTAATTATTTAAATTATTTACAACTAACCGTATACAACAACTTTTTACATCTACTTATCTACATTTGACAATCTGTCTTTTTTAACTAAATACAATCATATATTAACCACAATAAGCGGTACTTTAAAAACCTGCATCTAATAATATTTCCTACATGTTGAAACATGTTAAAAAAACATGTTAAAAATAATTACAACATGTTAAAAAAACAACTTACCAATGTCTTTTGACTTTCAAATCTAAAAATTAAAAATAATAACTATATAAATCTTGTTCACTCATTTAAAATAATAAAAAAATAATTGATGCAAAAAAAGAGTAATAATTAACAATGAATAAATTTAAACAATGATTCTACTTAAAAGCACATTTAAAATAATTTTAAAATTATATTAATATTTGTGCAAGATTATTATTACTTTCTTTAATGAATTAGAATTCATTTTAGGTACATAATTTGTAACACTTGTATAATTTAAATTAGGTGTTTAGGTAACCTAAAATCTATGTTAACAAAATAAAGTCTACATATCTAGTTACATGCAAAATAAATACACATTTGGGTAGAAATAAAGATACACACTGGTATGGAATAAAACTCCCACATTTTCATAAAAATACATTGATATATTTATAAAAAAATAAAAGCTATATAGCATAAAGTTAATTATTAAACTATGTATTAAATTTATTCTTTTTTTACTTCTACTTTACTAAGAGCTCTAACACTATACTTAACATTTCAAAAAATAAAGCTATAAAAAGAATATAAAATAAACTTTATTTTATATTGTTTTTGTGGTCATTAACACTAATTTAATAACAATAACAATAATTTAAAGATGGAACAGATAATTCTCTTTGTAGTTATCAATATAGATAACAGTAACTTAACAATGGAAGAGAAAAATGATGAATAATATGATGCAATAAATGATGCAACTCATGTAATACTCTATTTTTCTTTGATTTTTTGCATATTAAGATCTTTAAAATTTTAGAAAAATATTTGAATAAAAACAAAATTCTTGAACTAATTAATCTAAGTAAAAATTAACTGTTTTTATTTCATAAATATATATTTTTTTAAATTAACTAAAACTAAATCTTGCATGACTTGTCGTTTACCAAAATTGCATTTTTTTTTTAATGTATCATCAAATGAAAAACCTAAAACCAAAGCATCAAATCTTTATATAAGTGAATAAAATTAGGCTTTAAGTTTTAAAACCTTGATTCAAACTTCATTGTAAAGTTCCAATGTTCCTGTTTTCAACTATTAAAGTTGAAAACAGGAACATTGGAACTTTACAATGAAGTTCTTTGTAGATTACTTTATTTTTTCAACTACTTTATTAAAACTTTGACTGTTGGTGAGTCTGTTCATGATACTTGTGAATGGATAGAAGAAGTCGTTTTTCTAAACATTCATCAATATAGATCGATGAATTAATTGCTACAGCCTTGGAAGTGCAAAACAATGGCTCAGACATACCACAGTCATATATGGCTATCCACATTAATAACTTTTTTGGAAATTTCTCTTTTCCTTTAAAACGAACATTTTCTGGGCATGTTTTTTTATTGTTTGTGTAGTATCCAGAATTTCCAGGCGCTGTCCCCTGCAAAACAAAACTATTTTTTGGCATCGATGACCAGAAGCAATTTTGTGTTAAAGAGTTTGTTAACTAGTCTCCTGCTTCATTTCTTTGCCTTTAATTGTTGTTCTATAGTGGATTTAATTGTTATTCTATATTGGAGTTTTTTCATGCTTTTTATATTTAATATTCATTCTTTTTAATTGATGTCCAATAGGCGATTGATTTACACCCCTTTTTGATTGTTAACAAATCTCGTTAATTCAGCTTTCTTTTCTCTAGTCCAGGATGTTGGAAGACCAGGGTACTTTCTATCAGAAAAGAATTAAACAGTTTCAAGTCTTTTTAGGTTATCATATATTGTACTTTTTTTTTATATAATAGGTTTATTTACAAAAAACATTTTGAGTTGCTTACTAAAAGATTCTCATATAGCTGCATTTAACCTCGTTTTAAATGACTGTGTTTCAAATAATAAAGTTTATATTTTATAAAACATTTATGCCTATGCATAAAACCACAAAAACAAACTATTATGTTAAATAATTAAGTTCAGATTTGTCCTAATAACTTCCGCATTACCCATTATAGCCAAAAACAGCAGTTCCATTATTTGAAAAAAAAATGGAACTTTTTTAAGTTGTTCATATATACCCAAGTTGTTCATATATACCCAAAATTCAAGTTGTTCATATATACCAAGTTCATATATACCAAGTTGTTCATATATACTCAAGTTGTTTATATATACCCAAAATTTGAGAAACTAAGAATTGAAACAAAACTAAAAAAATTAAACACAAATAAATTAACAGGTGTAGATAAAGTAGATCCAAAAGTATTAGAAAAATGCTCACAAAGTTTATGTAAACCATTAGAATTAATCATTTGAAAGTGCGACTCCACCAAACTTATGATTACATGCAAATATAACACCATTGCATAAAAAAGGTGACAAACTTGAATCAGCTAACTACAGGCCAATTTCTTCAATATCTATTATATGCAAACTCATGAAAAGTATGACCTGAGATAAAATAATGAAACAATTAACAATAATAATTTAATCTCAGTGCACCAACATGATTTTGTAAACAAAAAATTTTTTTTACAAATTTACTAGAAACATTAAACATTGCCAGTAAAACATTTGGCAATAATATTCCAGTTATATTTCTAGACTTTACTAAGGTATTGGATACTGTGCCACATGAAAAATTATGTATAAAACTAGCTGAGTATGGTGTTACTGGTGACTCCAACAAAGAACAACAGTTTAAGAGGTTTACCATACAAAAATATATTAAATAAAATCAATTTTTCGACATTGAATTAGAAGGTAGAGGGTGATCTAGTGCAACTATTCAGGTTTATGAATAACTTGGATGTAATTAATTGATACAACCCTCCTGTATTTATTGAAAATTCTATTACAATAAAAAAAAAATGGTTGACATAATTTTTTCATAATAGAATATGTGACAAATATAACATTTACCACAAAAAGTTGTGAACGCGAAAAACTTAAATATATTCAAAACCCTCTATGACAATTATATACAAAACTGTGAAAAGCTGTTACAACATGACATCTACTGTTGTTAGACTCTATAAACTATAATGTGTATAATAGCTTGTTTGTTTATTTAATTTGTTTATTGTTATTTCTATTATATATTTAAGATATTCAAAATATCTTTAAAAAAAGTTAAAGAAAAAATAAAAGAAAACAAATTACATCAAAAGAACTTTATACGATACTGAATTACTTTTAAAAAATTTGTGAAAAATAAAATACATTACTTTTCACATTTGTAAAATATATTTATGAAAAGAATTCTTTTAAACAAAAACCTTTCTTAAAAAAGAAACTTATTTGCTTTCACATATTTTAATTTATGATGAAGAAATTTATGTTTTACGTAATAAATTAATTAGTAGATAAGAAAAAATTTTCTTCTTTAATAAGTATTGGATAACTATTTTACATTCCTTTAAAAATAAATTTTATATTATACATTCCTTCAAAATTAAATTTAGATTTTTAATATCACATTTAATTAAAAATCTTTTTAAAAAATTATTTAAAACGATCAGTTTCTTTGACAAAAAAATTCATAGTTGCAATTAAACACTTTTTTTTACAACATATTATTTTCTAAACAAATCGACTTATTATTTTCTAAGCAAATTTTCTAAAGCAATATCAAAAAGTAATCTAAATATACTAAAATAAAACAGTTTTTTTGCATAACATAAAACTGCTGAATGCAAATGCATTTTTTTTTTTTTTTTTTTACTTTTTTTTTCCAGAATAATATGTACAAGGTAAATTTACATTGAATATATTACTGGTAGGACTTCCAGAAGATCACACAATTTTATCATAAAGCCCTTTACAATCTATATTAGAGTCAAAATACAAAAATTTACAAATATTTAAAACAATATTTAAATACATTTATATATTATAACACTCTTAAGATGTTAACAATATTTTATAATATATGTGAATATACGTATAATATTTCTCAATATTTAATATTATTCAAAAACAAACAAACAAACAAAAAAAGCAAACAAAAACTCGAAAAATTACATCAGTTTTCATCAGTATATATGTAATGTCAATATATATATATATAATATGTAATCTAAAAAATACTGTCGTTCAGATTACAATTCCTTAATTATTTTGTGGAATAGGTAATAATTTAAAAATATAAAGATATGTTATCAATTGAAAAAATTACTTCTTTTAGTTTTCTTTTAAAAGAAAAATAATTCCAATTATGCGAAAAGTCAAAATGTTTTAAAACTATTTTGTTCCATAACAAGGCTCCACGGTATTGAATGCAAGATTTGCCTATATTTGATTGAAAAATTGGTTGTTGGATATGTTTATTATTTCTTAATATATATTTATTTTTTTCTTTCATTGAATATAACTTATGAAAAGAAGCAGGACAAGTATTAATTTTGCATTTAAACACAAAACAAAGAATGTTAAATATATTTGCTTTGTAAGAATACTCATGTTTAAAGACCTGGCATGAGTAAAACAATCTTTAAAATTAATAAGACGTGCTACAAGCAAAAGCTTTAACCTCATTTTGTTGGTACTACCCCAGGCAATATTAGCATAGTTAATATGGCAGTGAATTAATGAGTAATATAGTTGAATTAAAGTATGTTTATTTAAAATACATATATATATATATATATATATATATACATATATATATATATATATATATATATATATATATATATATATACATATTATATACATATATATATATAAATATATATATATATATATATATATATATATATATATATATATATATATATACATATATATATACATATATATATATATATATATATATATATACATATATATATATATATATATATATATATATATATATATATATATATATATATATATATATATATATATATATATATATTTATATATTAGGCCAGGGTGAAATCAGTTTTTTTGTGCATTTATATGAGTAAATATAATTTGTACAAAAAAAAAATAAAAAAATAAAAAATGTAAACACACCATTTTTTGAATGTCATTTGTTTATTCAATAGCTGCATGGACTGTAAATGTTAATTGCCATGAA